TTTTTTTGGCAGATAAAGGTTTGTTTTATTGAATAACTGATCTGATTCATGCTGAGGCCACTATGTACAGACAAGAGAGAGGGAGTTTTATTATTTCTTGGTCTCTTCCTCCTTGGACAGAGTCTTGATGATTTCCTCCTTCTTGGCCTGGAGCCGCTCTTCACGGCGCTTGCGGGCCTCCTTGGTCTTAGATCTGCGGGCCTCAGCCTGGTCAGCCAGAAGCTTCTTGCGAGCCTTGTCTGCCTTCAGCTTGTGGATGTGTTCCATGAGAATCCGCTTGTTCTTGAACACGTTACCCTTCACTTTCAGGTACAGGCTATGATACATGTGGCGGTCAATCTTCTTAGATTCACGGTATCTTCTGAGCAGCCTGCGTAGAATTCTCATCCTCCTCATCCACGTTACCTTCTCAGGCATTCGAGCATTGGCAGTACCTTTTCTCTTACCAATGCCCATATGCCTGCCCTTCCGGCGGGCCAGAGTGTTTTTCCGGCACCGAGCTCGGGAATGGACAGTCACAGGCTTCCGGATTATCAGCCCATCTTTGATCAGTTTTCGTATCTGCTGACGGGAGTTTGCATTGGCGATTTCATTGGTCTCATTGGGGTCCAACCAGACCTTCTTTTTGCCACAGCGGAGGACACTGGAGGCAAGCCTCTTCTGAAGCCTGAGCATACTCATGGCTGCGGCCGCAGCGCCGAAAGGAAAGAACTCCCAAATATACCATTTTAATATAAGATGTTAATAGGGGAAACTGGGTGTGGGGTATATGCAAATTTTCTGTACCATCTTTGTGAATTGTCTGTAAATTTGAAATTGTCCTAATATAGTTTATTCACATTGATTAGCTTTGGTATTTGAGTCAACTGTTCAGCTGGATGCATTGTGTTTTTTTTTTTTTAATTTTATTTTTTTAGGACAGTTTTAGATTGACAGAAAAATTTAAGCCCAGTTTTCCCTATTATCAACATCTTGCATTTGTGTGGTAAATTGATTATAATGAATGAACCAATATTGATACATTATTAATTAGAGTCAACAGTCTTTTTTTTTTTAAGATTTTATTTATTCATGAGAGAGACAGAGAAAGAGAGAGGCAGAGACATAGGCAGAGGGAGAAGCAGGCTCCATGCAGGAAGCCTGACGTGGGACTCGATCCCGGATCTCCAGGCTCATGCCCTGTGCTGAAGGTGGCTCTAAATCGCTGAGCCACCCGAGCTGCCCAGAGTCAACAGTCTAAATTAAGGTTCTCTCCGTGTTGCACAGCTATATGAGTTTTGACAAATGTTATAGTGGGCATATATATATATATATACACACAGATATATATACACATACAGAATAATTTTACTACCCTAAAAAACCTCCTGTGCATTACCTGGTCATCTTTCTTTATGTATTCCCGAGCCCCTGGTAATCACTGATTTCATTTTATTTTTCACTGTTTCTGCAGTTTTGCTCCTTTCAGAATGTTATATAGTTGGGCTCGTACAGTATGTAGCCTTTACAGACTGCTTATTTCATTCTGTATATGCATTTAAAGTTCCTCCATGTCCTTTTTTGGCTTTATAGCTCATTTCTTTTATCGCTGGGTAATATTCCATCACATGGATATACCACAGTTTATTTATCCATCCACATGTGAAGGACCCCTAGGTTGTTCTTAGCTTTTGGTGATTATGAGTAGACCTGCTATAAACATCTCTGTGTAAGGTTTTGTGTGGACATAAATTATCAACTCATGTGTTACTTACAAATATATTGTTTAATCTACAAAAATGTTGGGATTTTGCAGGTATCATTGTTACTGATTTCTAGTTTAATTTCCTTATGGCTTGAAAGCATACTTTGCATGATTTCTATTCTTGTAAATTTGTTCAGATGTATTTTATGGCCCAGAATATGGTCTCTCTTGTTAAATGTTCCATGTGAGCTTGAGAATGCATATTCTGTTGTTGTTGGATGAACAACATGAATTGGCAGAGATGTCAATTAGATCCAGTTGACTGATAATGCTTTTCAGCTTAACGATATGCTTAAACTGATTTTCTGCCTGCTGGTTACTGACAGGGATGTTGAAGTCTAACTATAATAGTGGATAGATACGTATAGTTGTGCATTTGTCTGTTTCTCCTTGTAATTCTATTTTTTTTTTTTGTCGTCACATATATCGTGACTCTGCTTATGCACATCAAGGATTGTTGTGCCTTCCTGGAGAACTGACTGCTTTATCATTATGTGATACCCCTCTTTATCCCTGTGTGAAGGATTGGTATTATTTCTTTAAATATTCAACAAAATTCATCTATGAAGTCATCTGGCTTTATGGGAAGATTTAAAAACAAATTAATTCAGTTTCTTTACTTGTTATAGGGCTATTCATATTTCTATTTCTTCTTGAGTCTCTTTTGGTAATTTGTTTTTCTAGAAACTTATTCATTTCATCTAAGTTGTCTAACTTGTTGGAATATAGTCATTTATGGTATTTCTTTATAATTAATTGCTTTTTCCTTTTTCCTTCCTGATTTTGAGTATTTGGTCTTTCCTACTAATTTCTTGGTCAGTCTAGCCAAAGAGTTTTCAATTTTGTTGATTCTTTCAAGAAGCAATTTGTAATTTCATTGCTGTACTGTTTTTCTATCTTCCATTTCATTGATATCTGTTCTAATCTTTACTCTTAACTTTCTTCTGCTCACTTTGGATTTAGTTTGTTCTTTGTTATCTGGCTTCTCAAAGGAATTTCTGGTAATGGATTTGAGACCTTTTTTTTTTCTTTTGTTTTAAAAAAGATCTTATTTACTTATTCATGAGAGAGAGAGAGAGAGAGAGAGATAGGCAGAGGGAGAAGCAGACTACCTGCAGGGAGCCCAATGTGGGACTTGATCTCAGGACCCCGGGATCACAACCTGAGCCAAAGGCAGATGCTCAAACATTGAGCCACAGGTGCCCCTCCTTTCTTTTTTTTCTGACATGTTTTTTCATGATATGTTTATAGCTATAGGTTATACTCTAAGTACTATGTTAGCTGCATTCCATACTTTTTAATTTTATATTTCATTTTCATTCATTTCAAAATATTTTAAAATTTCTCTTGTAATTTATTTCTTCTTTGACTATAAATTTTTAGTTTGTTTGATTTAATTTCCAAATATTTGAGGGTTTCTCAGATTTTTTTCCTATTGGGGATCTTAATTCAATGTGTCAGAGAATATACTTGGTATGGTTTCAGTTTTTAAAAATTTATTGAAACTCATGAGACACCTGGGTGGCTACTGGTTAAGCAGCTGCCTTTGGCTCGGGTCATGATCTCAGGGTCCTGGGATGGAGCTATGCACTGGGCTCTCTGCTCAGTGGGGAGTTACTTCTCCCTCTCCCCTGGTTCCTCCCTCCCCTGCTTGTGTTCTCTCTCTCTCTCTCTCAAATAAATAAAATCTTTTAAAAAATTTATTGAATTTTTTTTTGTGACCCAGCATATAGTTTATACAGTTGGAAGCATTTTTAACTTAATTTTTAATTTTTTTATGAAACACTTTTGATTATGATCTAATGCATATACCATAAAATTCATTCTTTTAAAGTATATAATTCAGTGATTTTTAATGTATTCACAAGACCATGTAACCATCACCACAGTCTAATTCCAGAACATTCTTGTTACTCCTAAAACAAATTAGTACCCATGAGGAGTTATTCTTTTTCGTTTCTCCCATGACCGAGGCAACTACTAATATACCTTCTGTCTCTATGTATTTGCCTATTTGGGACATTTCATATACACAGAACATAAAATATGTGGCCTTTTGTGTCTGGCTTCTCTCACTTGGCATAATGTTTTTAAGGTTCACCCATACTGCAGCCTGTATCAGATTCCTTTTCAGACTGGATTATATTCCATTATATGGATATACCACATCTTGTTTATCCATTCATCAGTTGATGGACACTTTTTGGCTATTATGAATACTGCTGTGAACATCTGTGTACAAGTTTTTGTGTGGTGTACATTTTTAAGAAGTCTATAATCTCTAGGCTATGAGTTAAGTACCTGTACTCAGGAAATAAGGCTGGAGTGTGTGTGTGTGTATCTTTCTGTGTGTGGAGCCAACCCAAGTTCCTGTATGTTTACAAAGAGTCTGTGGGTTTAAGAAGAGGCCAGAAGAGCTGAGTCAACTCTTAATATCTTAGTTTTACCCTACATGCTTCAGCTCTCCCTGGCTACATGCCTCCCCTTCTGTTCTGAACCACAGTGTAAGTGAGCCCTGCTGGGTGGGAAATGAAGCATGATTTCATGGCCAAAGAAGCCAGTGCACAGACACATAAACAGTATATATTTCTATGATGCTTTTGGAATGAAAGGAAAAGTGATATGTATCATTTTGTGATTCAAGAAAAGCAATAGTAAAAACCGTACTCTCAAGTTAGCGGGAGAAGAAAATCATCCATCAATCAATGAATGCGATGATGCCCAAATATTACTTTGGTTAGAAAAATAATCCCACATAAACTCCCACTTTTCTCTCCTTTGGATCCTAAAACTTTCATCACCACACTGCAGCGCATCTGTGGAGAAACGCATGTGGTGAGCCAGACAGCTGTTCCCCAGTGTCTTGTAGTTTTATTCCTGGCGGTCAGTCCAGTTTTAGCATTGCTATGAAACTGCGATTTCCCTTTGCCTATCATTTGGCCCTGAAATGTTGTGAGGATTCTTCTTCCCTGATCTTCACTCTAAAAATGAATCTAAACACTCTTCATTACCTAAGAAGGCAGAGTTAGGTGATGTTTTTTTTGCAACTCTTTTATCTCATTCTGGATAAAGATAGTGAAGTGAGCTGGGAATGAATACAGGAAACCAAAGGGTAAAAAATGTTCTCCTCGAATAAGGGAAATCTGATACAAGGTAAGAGAGATACAGTGCTTGACTAAAAGTTGGCCTGATTTGACCAAATAAAACTTCATGTGACATATTAAGGTATACTTTTATAAGACAAGAGATTCTGTACCTGCTTGTTGAAATATCCTCAAAAGGGTAGAGGATCTCTCCATTGTTACAGATTTCACAGATGAACCCCTTCTGGCTACAGAGACTGCAGCTGTACACGTGTGAGGTGGCAAATTTAATGACCTTGCCCAAGAATGGAGCCAGCTTCCCCTCTATTACCTGCAGAAAGAGAAATGGGACAGGGAAGCAAGTCCATTGAGAACAGAAGTCTTGCAGACCCAGGAAGACTGGAATTCCTTTCCTTTACACAACAGGAAAACCTCTAATTATAATTTCTCAGCAACTCTGAGAAAGAAAAGACAGTATTTTCACTCCAAAAGAACTCTCTGGTTTAAACCGCTGGAGGTTGGAAAATGAAGATGTTGAAACTTCTTTTGTATTCCTCTTTCACTGTAGCGTGATATAGGGAATTGAGAACCAACAAATGGGGAACGCTACTTTCATAGACCAACTTACTGTTATGGTGTGCTATTAGAGGAATGGGGTAGATTTCCCAAGATTAGAAAACATGCAAGGTAAACATTAACGTAGAATATTATGTTGTAAATTCAATAATACCTATCCTCTGATGAGTTAATAGTATAGCTTCTTTTACCATCTTCCCCAAAACATGTAACATATGTGGAAAAATAGGTTTCTTTTGGTGCTAATAATAAGTATGTTAATATAAAGAGATTGCAATTTGACAGTCTGAGAGCTGCATTCATCCTGAGGATTTTTTTTTTTAATTTTAGTGTTTTAAAAAATGATCCAATTTGATAACTGGGAGATTTCACAGAAAAATCCTGAATTTGGGCTTTTTGGGAAAAATAATCAGATTTAGCAAAACCAGGCCTGAATTCCAACATGATGATGATCCTGATTATGAGTAGGGGCTGCTTGCTCCCACAGAAGCACATGTTCTGCGGTTGACAGTTGTCCCCTTCTAGGTCCTACTATTTTGAATCTGCTTGCATACCACCATTACATTACCTGTTGGCCCGCAAACATCCGTGAGTCTGGAACCAATGGTTAGTCAGATCCCTTTTCACTTAAGTAATGCTGAATGAGCTTCAAAGACTTCAGCAGTTCAAAACTGATATGAAAAAAATCTGCCTTCTTTCTCATCCATGCATGGGTATATACATGCTGATTTTGACATAACGAAGATTCAATTTAATTTGGAAATAGCTAGAAATAACTGGTAATAGCTGGATACTTTCACATCATGGAATAATCTCATGATGTTTTAAAAATGAAGAGAACAAGTTGGAAAAGCAGATCTTTCACTGTGTATATAGTTTTTTTTTGCATTTTTAAAAACAATGTATATTATTTTTGTATTAAGATACAGAAAGTGAACAGAAAATAATGTTCACTGCTTTATAAGAGTGGATTTTCTTTTTCTTAATAAAGAGAATAGAAATTATGCTGGCTGTTTTTTGAGTCAAGCAAGTACATTTTCTGCCATCCTTTTACTTACTCTCCTCTGCACTTCTTTCATGAAGCCATAGGCCAACCTCCTTTTATTTATATTTTCTCAAGAGCCATTAACATTGATGAACCCCAGTAACGTGTACTCCTAATACCACCACATGATATACACTTTCTAAGAAATAACCACTACCAAATCTTATACCAACCACCGGTAAACACTTTCCAATGTGTCATAGGGTTATTTCTAAATTGTGGTAACAATAGTTCAGCAGAGTTTGGTTTTACTTATGTTCCTCTTTCCTAAACAAGCAAGGTTAATGACACATTCAGAGATGCACGAACAAAATATAGCTCAGTTGGGGGAAAACATCAGGATATAGAACAGTCCAGAAACCAGGTGAGTAAAGATTTTTTGGAGGAACTGAGGGTAAGAAGGGAATATGTGGAAGAAAGTTATTATCTAGGGTCTAAAGGAGAAGGCTAGGCATCTTATGCATAAAGGTTTTTTTTTTCCTGTTAGAAAACTTCCTTGAGACAAAGGGTGTGAACATTTTGAAGGCTCTTGAAATATTTCACCAAATTTACACTGCCAGAAATGTAAATGTATTTCTATCGGAAGACTTTAATGAGCTTTAAAAAATTAATCTGAGGACTGGTATCTTTATAATATTTATTCTCCCTATCAAAGGACCTTACCCATATCTTCATTTTATTAAATCTTCATTTGTTATTGCTTAATAAAGTTTTGGGTTATTTTCCCCTGTATAAGCAACTCACACTATTATTTAGGTTATTTTAGGGTTAAACTTTTATATAATACTTTTCCTTATTAGCTATTGCTGGTTTTAGAATATATTGACATTTGAGTATATCTTATATATATAACTATTTCACTGAATCTTCATGGATGCAAATCACTTTTAGGTGATTCTTTTGGGTTTTCTGAAAGTAATAACTTGGTCCCTTCCTTTCTAATGTTATATCTCTTATTTATGTTTCATGTCTTATTTCATTGTCCAGTGACCCTAAAATAATTTGATGTAATGGTGTTAGCAGATATTCTCGCTATTTCCATGAGAATTAAACAGGAAATTATGTAGTCTACAGTGAATGGTTCGTTTTCTCCATCAAACACATATAGTCATTCACCACATTTATTAATTCCCTCTCCTTTTTAGTAGCAGCTTTGAGATACAATTAACATGCCAAGTAATTCACCTATGTAAAGTCTACAGTTAAATGGTTTTTAGCATATTCACAGAGTTGTATGCCATCATCATAGTCAGTTGTAGAACATTTCACCAACACTTGCAAAAAACCCTATACCTATTAGCAGTTGCTCCCCCCCCCCCCCCCGCATAACCTGTCTCCTCCCCACCAAGCCCTAAGGAACCAATAATCTTTTTTTGTCTCCATAGATTTACCTCTTCTGGACATTTCATATAAATAGACTCATACAATATATGGTTTTTTATGACTGCTTCTTTCAGCATAATGTTTTCAAGGTTCATGTTGATTCTCTTTTGATATCTCTGGTATAAGTAAGTCTCTTTTTCCTGTCTTGCCAGCTATTAGCACTCCTCTCTAGATTAATGAAATCATTTTCTAGTTTTACTTCTGGAAGCCAGTCTTTTCCCTCTGGTTCATCCACAGCATATATACTAACCAATTTTGGACATCATCTTTATCAAATATCATCTCTTCTTTCAAATCTTGGTGAATTCTTATTTTGTTATTAATAAAAGTTCACTCATTCATTTCATAAAATTATATTGAGTTACAATGTCCTATATACTCACTAAAGGAGTGAACCAGATAAGACTGGAGCTTACGTTTTTGCTTGGTGTGCAAGCGTCTCCATTAACTTATTCCATACTATTTATCCAGGCTCATTTTCCATTTCTTACTACATACCTTCCATTTTAAGAAAACTTTTCCCTGTGTAGAATATGCTTACTTTTGCTCTTGTGCCTTCACCCATGTCATTTCCTGTCTTAAGTTTCACTTCTTAACACATATTTATATTTCACCTAGGCTTCATGGCTCAGATCTAGTCAGTTTCATCTGGAAAGCCATCTTTGGCTACTTCAACTGTTACACTTCTCTTGTGCTTCAAATAATTTACTTTCAGAACTTGATGCTGTTTTGTACTCTTTACTATTGTTTAACGTGATTGTTTTGCTTATCCAACCAGATTGAACATATAAAAATGGTGATACTAAATGTAAAACGGTGATTTTACCTATAAAATGGTGATTTTATATGGAACGATCTAAGAATGTAAATTGCTTGAAGGCAAAGACTGAGTCTCACACTTGTTTTAAATATCCCTTCTGCCAGGGACATGAGTTCTTGTTGATTGACCAAGGATGCCTTCCTATTTTCCTCCTTGCCAGCAGCAGTCACATCTTAGGGTTGTCTTTGTGTCACAAACATTTTTAACCATTCTGTGTGATTTAGGGAAGAGCATAAAGAGTGCGAGGACCTGGTGGCTGCTCAGCTGTTCAGGAACTTTTTTTGCTTCTTTATACTTAATTAATTGCTCTATTTGTTAGCGTAGGGTTCATGGCCATGTTCCAAAGAGCTGACGATGCTGAAAGTTTTTCCTCTAGAAAAGTGAGGTAATAGTCTATACGTTTATTTTAGAATGTACACACATTTCTTTAATAGTATAGAAAAGAAAACTATAGGTACAGATATATTTAGGACGTTTAAAGCTTGTCTTTGTATACAACTACTAGCAGCACTGGAAACAGAATCCATTCTGGCTTCTGGTCTAGAAGTTTCATCACCACAAAGAAGTAGGTTCTAAAGTATGAAATCTCCTTGGTTCAAAAAAAAAAAATCTCCTTGGTTCTTTTTAAAAATCAGATATATCTTCGCTTTGGATGATTGCTTAAAAAGAAATCAAGTATCCTATACCCCTACCACCTCCTCCTGCCTCCAAGAGTCTTGCAACTTACACTCCCAATTCCTATCCATCTTGGTGGAGCCTTAAGGTTAGGAACATGTTCCATAAACACCACAAAGAGGATGGCCTCACAGAAGACCAAAGCCTAAGGAGCCACTATCTTCAGGGTCCAAATGAGAACCAAGTAGAAAAGGGTCACCAGGATGCCGATGGGTCTGGAAAATGACTATGGGTAGGGAAAAGTCAAATGTCCAATAAGCCAACAAGCTTGCCAGCAACCACACAGCCTGAGAGAAGTCACACATGAGACCTCTTCTGTGTCAACCCTAAATTGGAGCACTTCCCCGGGTAGTGTTACTACCTAGAGTAACAACAGTCTTCAATAGGGCCCGGCATGGGGAAAAGTTCTGCAAACTGGGTATTTAGATTAGAGTTGATCCAGGGGATTCTGATACCACTAAGAGCAAGCCAGGACTGATCAGGACAAAGAAAACCACAAAAGTACTTCCTTAATAAAACTGGCCAAAGCTTGTTTAAAAAAAGAAAAACAAAACCTAACCTTCGTAGTTTTAGCTTGACAACTTGGCTGTATTTTTCTGGTGTGTGGTAGTTTGATTCACCAGGGAGTCTCCCAGAGAGGCTGACATTACAGAGTTTTCCATATTCCCTCAGAACTTACTTGTCTCTGGGTACTGGGAAACAGCAAAGCAGAGTGGAAAAGGCAAAGCTGATCTGAGTCCTATTCTATCTAGTTCATCCGCTTTCCAGCCATGAGATGTTGGCAAATTACTTAACCTTTTCGAGTCCCAGTTCATCAACTGAAAAGTTAGGA